AAGATAGAATTTTGCCAATTCCCTTCATTCTGTGACAGGTTTCAGTTAGGAACCTAGTCTGCTGAGAATCAGTAATTGTATGTTTTCATAAGATGAAGTGGTTCTGAGGATGCTGAAAGATGTCCACAGCCAAAAGAAGCCTTTTTACATAGGTCCCAATAAATAGCCTTGTCACCTTTCTGCCTGAAGAAGATCTCAGCATTTATCAGGCAGGCCTTCAGGGGGAAGAGCTGGGCAAGGTAGTATAAACTACGTTGAAAACTTTGTGGAAGTGTGGTCTACTGGTTAGAGCAGGGGATGGGGAGTTTTGGACTCATATGAGTTCTGTTGCTTCAGTTCACCAATTTGGAAAATGTCTAAGAATTCCTTACTGTGGTGTTGAGACTTAATGTCTTTAACAGCATTTTGAGATTGCGAAGATTTCTACTGATTACTTTCCTGGAAGTTCTTTTGTATTGTTTGTGAGCGGCCCAGAGATTGTACTGTAGTCTTAGGGAGTCCTTATTCACATTCAAGACTGGAGAGACTGCATTGTTAAGAAAAGTAATCCAATCACAGGATTGTTTTAAAGTATAGTACTCTGTTAATAGTTCAATTCCTTTAAAAAGTAATCTGAATCTACATTAGAAGTTTTATAATCTGCTACCTTAAAAATCCTTTGGGTAGAGTTCATATGCTATACCAGGATCTTTACCTATCTATGAGGTGATGCGGTATGTCTTGTTTTTGTTCCAAGAAGCAAGACTACAGGAGATGGTATTTATTTAAATGTCACAGTGCCAGCAATTTAACAGTTCAAATAGCATACCAGAACAGCATTGGCTTTCCGTAAAAACTGGTGCAGAACAACAACAAAAAATTGTTTTAAGACAGCACCTCAGTTCTTGATGTTTTTTTCCATAAATATTAAAGATGCATTTTGGAGAAAAGCTGTGTGCCTGGTTCAGTTTGGTTTTCACAGAGAATTTTTGAGAAACTATATCGGTTATAACAATGAGGAGTCCTTGTGGCACCTTAGAGATTAACAAATTTATTTGGGCATAAGCTTTCTTGGGCTAGATAGAACCCACTTCATCCGATGCATGGAGTGGAAAATACAGGAGCAGGTATAAACACATGAAAAGATGGGAGTTGCCTTACCAAGTGTGAGGTCAGTCTAACAAGACAATTCAGTTAACAGTAGGATACCAAGGGAGGAAAAATAACTTTTGTAGTGGTAATGAGAGTGGCCCATTTCAAAGAGTTGACAAGAAGGTGTGTAACAGTAGGGGGAAATTAATATGGGGGAAATTAGGTTTAGATTTTGTAATGACCCAACCACTCCCAGTCTTTATTCAGGCCTAATGTGATGGTGTCCAGTTTGCAAAGTAATTCAAGTTTGGCAGTTTCACATTGGTCTGGTTTTTGAATTTTTTTTTCTTGAAGAATTGCTACTTTGAGGTCTGTTATTGAGTGACCAGGGAGACTGAAGTGTTCTCCTACTGGTTTTTGAATGTTATAGTTCTTGATGTCAGATTTGTGTCCATTTATTCTTTTGCGTAGAGACTGTCCAGTTTGGCCAATGTACATGGCAGAGGCGCATTGCTGGCACATGATGGCATATATCACATTGGTAGATGTGCAGGTGAACAAGCCCCTGATGGTGTGGCTGATGTGGTTAGGGCCTAGGATGGTGTCCCTTGAATAGATATGTGGTGTTAGTGTCTCAACTGAGTTGTTGTTTTAAAAAAATAAATAAGTCATTAAGTGGGAGTGAAGGTCATTTATTTCCCAAATCCTATGGTATTTAGTAGATTATGGTGGGCTGCTGCATTTTTCCTTTGGATTAGGCATGATGTAATAATAGCGGGTTTTCAGGACTAATGTCAAATGTTTAATTAAAGTCCCTTTAATTAAGGTGGTTTTTTTTACCTTGTCACCATTTCATCAGAAGAAGCTGCTTTGGTGGATTTTTTATAACATTTATTTAAGAGCATAAACAACTATATGGTTAACTAATTTCTCATACTTCCTTCAAGTGCTAAAGAATATGAAAAATACATTGGGATTATAATATAAATAAATTAGTCAAATCAAGGAGTTAACCAATTCTAATTTGTATTATTAACTAAAAAGATAACCGTTTAAGATGAACAATTGGTCTAATCATTGCATGAGCACTATCAGTACATGTGGCCTACAATGAGCCCACTTTTTTTCCTACTTGTAGAATTTAGCTGTGTGAATGTAATTACTTACTCAGTGGAGATTTGGAGACTTCTTGGCACAATAATTAATCTAGGTCTGCAGACTTGACTATATTTGGGCTGTGGATAGTATTTCTTGTTTTGTGAAGGTGGATGTTGCCACAAGAAGTGAAGACCATTGATGGAAAGAGGCTGCAATTGTACTCCTACCCTTTTAATTCTTTCTGGGCCAAGATATTCCAAAGTACTTTTTAAAAGATTTTGTGTGACCAACTTGAGATACCTTAAATAGGGTCTGATTTGCAGAGGACAGGTGCTCCACGCTTTCTATTTGGGCCTTCAAAATCACTTAACCTTTTTGAAAATCTTGGCCTTTGTGTCACCTTAGTACAGCATTTTTTTTTTATTTAAGGGATAGAAGTGTACTGTTTTTCCTCTTCAAGATCGCTACTTCTTTTCCAGGCGCATGCGAGCTGCCTGCATACACTAGCATGATGAGGGACAGCTGCCGCTAAGCTTGGTGCCCACCCCGGTGGGCAAGGCTGGGGGCAGTACAGCTGCATTGGAGAAGCTGCCAGGGCTGGGCTCTTGCTCCTGTGAGTGGTGGCCTGACAGGCTGCTGTGGTTCCTGGTAGAGCCCTGCAGCTCCATGGGTATCCGCTTTATATCCATGGATATTCACATCCAGAGGTACAAATTTTGTATCCGTGCAGGGCTCTACTTTTAGTATTCGTCCTATCAACGGTTTGCTGTTGTACCTTTAACATTGACTCTTTGAGAAACTGGGAAGTCTCCTGAACTCCTTTTTCCTTTAGATTTTATTCCCATGGGCCATTACCAACCACTTCTTTGAGTTTGGTAAAGTCTGCTTTTTTGAAGGCCATTGTACTTATTTTGCTGCTCTTGCTCCTTTTCCTTAGTCACGTAATCATCATTTCTTGATCACTTTCACCCAGATTGCCTTCAACTTCAGATTCACAATGCTGTAGTCAGAATAACATCTAAAATGGCAGTTTTCCCCAGTTACTTCCTCCACCTTCTGAAACAAACATTTGTCCCCAATGTATTTCAAGAATTTAATGGACATTTTGTGTTTTGCTGCATTACAATCATTCTGTTCACACAGTCCTGGAAAGCTGTGTTGCCAGCTCACAATTTTATCTCGCGTCTTGAGATATGTGGTGTTTCTTAAAGCCCCGGCTCCTGGACTAAAATGACTATGTAAGAGTTTCAGTAACTTTTTGTAAATTAAGCTTAAAGCCTTCATGATTATGGAATAAAGTTTGAGAATATGAACTGGTTGTACCTTTAAAGGCTGAAAAACGAGAAGGAAAATACATAGAACCCAGTCTTTCTCTCTCTCTCTTTTTATTTTGATATATATTGTGCTCTTGCATTTTGGCAATACTGGGGTGGGGGGGGGGAGAGAAATAAAATAAGGTTGTTGTGTAAAATTGTATAATTGGCAGGGGGACCCAGGAACAGTAGTTGAAACTATTTTAAATTGTTCATTTGTTGGAACTAATTAGATTTGAAATTGACAGTGACCCTTTAAGTACAATTCAATAAAGTTTCAGAAAAAATATTCCCTGCTTACATTTAAAATAACTTGTTTCCTCATTGGTTCACGCTGTCAGCAAAATGAAAAATGTCCAATTTTTTTCCTGTGCACTGAAATGTATTCTTTTTCTTTGTAGCATGAATGATACATAAGTTGTTTGGTTTTTTAAATAAGTGATATCCAATGTACAGAAATAAATTTAGTCACAATCCTGCAAAAGGTTATGCATGGGCTTACCTTTACACACTCTAAGTAGTCTCATTGAAATCAATGATAGTGCTCCTAGAGTTTGTAGTTAAGCACATGCATAACTCTTTGCAGGATTGGGGCCTTAAATTCTAAACCATATTTCCTTTTGTACAAATGTAGTTTAGTATTTTTTACATTGCAGGAAACTGTCAAAAATGAGATTAAAAACAGCTTGCAGAGGAGATGCAACAGTATTCTGAAAATCTTTAGAAAACTCTGGAGCAGACATAGGCGAATTGATTGGTTATTTATTATCTATTTACATAAATCCTTTGTTTGCCAGTTTGTTTAGATTTTTCTAAATCCCCAATTACTGTAAAGTTAATTAGCAATCAGAATTGGTTTTCAAAAGGTTCAAATTCCCCACATGGCTTTGCAGATCTAAATGTCTGGCATCCAACCTAGCTAATGAGCTCACCTCTATACAAATGGGATCATTTCTAATAGCTTTGCCAGCTCTTGAGTAATTCAGGATGAACTCTTCCAATGTGAAAAAACGCTTTATGAATGAATGTTGGGTGTTTTTGTAATTAACCATTCCCCTTAATTAATTTTGGCTCCAAGTCTCTAATTTCTCAAAGAAGGAAGTTATACAACTAAGAAGTCTAGCTGCCAAAATCACCATCTCTCTATTCCAAGCTGTGTAAAAACGTTACAGTATGTAATAACTTGGCTTTGGAAGAGGCAATACCTCATTTTGCATTTATGTGAGAGATTTTAAAACCTTATTGGTGTTTTGAGGATGAGGAGGAGGAAATTAGCTTGCTCACCTACTGCAGACATTCATGTTTCATGAGCAGAGTTGGCTTATAAAAGAGCACTGTATAGAATACTGACTTTGGTGACAAAATGTAAAACAGACTTGATGAATTGAAGGTGTTCATATTACTTTGTTCATGTTGGGTTGAACATAACTCTTCATTTGTGTCTGAGCCTAAGTTCTCATGGGTTTACTATGATGGTGGGCTTGTGTGCAAGGCTATGTATTTTTCTTTGTTTTACAGAAAGAATTATAGAAGACCACGAGTTGGTAATTGAAGTTCAGTCAAACTGGGGAATCGAAGAAGAAAATAGACTGTATTTTAGAAAAAACTATGCCAAATATGAGTTTTTTAAACACCCAGTGGTAAGTCTGTCGTCTTAAAAGCACTGTTTGGGCAGCTGCTCTGCTGCCCTGACATCTGAAGCCATGTGGCATAGTGATGAGGGGGAATGCCAGAAATGCAGGAGGACTCGGAGTGAGCCGTAAAATGAAACGGAACCTAAATCTACCTGTGACCTGTTAAAAGGAAAGGAAGAATGATCTTAAATCACTATAGGTATGTCTATGCCAGAGCTGGAAGGTGTAAATTCCAACTTGAGGAGACATGCCTGCATTAGCTCCAATTGCACTAGTGTGCTAAAAATAGCAGTGTAGTCGCCACAGCGTGAGCTCTGGGAAGGGCTAGCTGCTCAAGTACAAATCTATAGTCTCCAACAAGGTCATACTTAGGGCGGCTCCCCTCCATGCCCCATCACCCTGTTCCCCACTTGCCCCACTGTGACTACACTCTAGTTTGCCACACGAGCTTGATCAGAGCTAATGCTGGTATGTCTCCTCAAGCTGGAATTTACACCTTCCAGCTGTGGTGCAGCCATACCTTTAGGGACACAAGAGTTTGGGTTCTGTTCCTTGCTCTGCATGTATTATCTTGAGCAAATCATTTTCTCCCTCAATTACCTATTTCTGAATGGGGATAACTCCATCTCAGAGATGTTGCTAAATTAATTAATAGTGTGTGTGTGGTGTCAGATATTATAGTGGTCCATGGAAATGACTTTATATAATTAGACCCAATACATTGCCTGACCATGGTCAACCAGCCTTGGTGGGCAATATAGACTAACCAATCAGGGCCCAACAAGAAAGGTACGATCCTAAGAGGAGGTGGAATTTAGAACACTGTATCAAAAACACTTAACTCTTAATTAATCCTAAAAATAATACACGCGATCATTTGGAATGAAAGTCTCTGGTGACCAGTTACTTTACGTACTTTGAAGGATTTAATTTGGGAATTGTCGGAGCTATTATAAAAGACTATAATTTTAGATCTGGGGCCAAATCCTCAACTGGTGTAAACCTGCATAGCTACAGTTCAGTCAGTGGAGCTGTGCTGACTTACACCAGCTCTGACCTATAATATCTTTTTTGTATTTTTGCAAGTTTCCACCATTTGATCTATATTAATATCATGCAGAATAAAAAGAGCATTCACAATAAACCAGAGAGGATTTTTTCTGCATTAGTAAAATATAGCATAAAATATATTAACCAGCATTTTGTTTCAATACGATTTAAATAAATGTTTTTGACAGTGTATCTCACTTATTTCCTCCTTCCACTGGGATACCATATCAACTTCAACAAATTGTTCCTTTTTAAATGAATTTTCCCTCTTCCTAGATAGTAATATATTGAAGCCTAGGGCTGGCCTATACAGCGTGAAGGGGAGGGTGAATGATTACCTGACAATGTAAGGTTACAGCTACACTGCAAAAAACAAACACAAATAAACAAAAAACAAAAATAAAAACCACAACAAACCACAACCTGGCAGTGAGTATGAGCCTGAGTCAATAGACTCGGCTCATGGGACTTGTGCAGGTTTCAAACCCTGGGCTCCAGCCCAAGTAGGAACATCTATACTGCTGCTTTAGCCCCATAGTATGAGCCGAGTCAGTTGACCCAGGCTCTGAGACCCACTGGCACAGGTTTTTGTAGTATAGACATACCCTAAGTATGGGCCTTCCTGTAGTCTGACTTGACTCAGCAGACCCTTATCCCTGCATTGAAATCTTAAAAAACAAAAACAAAAAAACCCACTTTGACGTTTGCTCTCACAAACTCAGCAGGTGAATCTACAAGATACCACACTTTGAGGCTATTTTAATGCTCCCCCCCGCTTTCCTAAATTATTTGAGCGTTGGGAAATCTCATTGTCTTTTTGCTCAGTGCAATTGAGTGGTGGATCTGTTTGTCTAAGAGAAATCTGAAGGTTTTTGTATTCACATTTACAGAAGTTTTAATAATACGTTCTATTGTAACAGAATTATTTTCCAGAGCATATGGTGTCGTTGTCAAGCGAGACCAGTGGAGTGATCGGCCACACACAGATATTACAGGTATGCAGTATTTGCATTAAGATAAACCAATTCACAGCAGAATACCTAAATTTCAGGTATCTAGTTTGTGTGTACATAGTATTTTGTCACTGACAGAATTGTAGTGACCTATTGGACGACTAGAGAGACGTCTTGTCATGAAACACAAAGATAATATTCCTCCACTGATATAACTGCACCTGGAATGATTCAGTTTTGGGGAATTCATTGCCATAAATATATTGACCAGTTGGAGGGAGTTCAGAAAAGAACAAAATGCAGCAAAAAAATGTTTAGGATCAGTTGGGTGGAGTAACTAGCAAGAAATGATTGAAAGATTAAAGTAGTTTAGCCTGTATAAAAGGATGGGAGTTCAACAGTCCTCAACTGTTTGAAAGTGGTATATGCAAAGGAAAACAAGGAGTTTAACACATTACAAGTGGAGTAAAGGGTTGAACATAATGAAAAGAAGATTTAGACTGGTTAGCAGGAAAAACAAAATCTTACGGCTGGCACGGTTTGTTAGTCTGTGGAATGCTGCAGCCTTCCAAAAGAAGTGGTAGCACCTAGTACAATGGTCCATGACTTCCAGGCTTCTAGACACTATGGTGATACAAATAATATCCACAGAATGTTTTAAATATAAGATGGATGCATCATTTTAAATGTAAAATGGGGAGCAATCTACAGAATAGAAAACAATCCTGTAGTGGCCATGAGATGAATCCTAAACAATGATCTTCCCTAACAGATTTATTTGGGCATAAGATTTCGTGGGTAAAAAAACCCCAGTTTACCCATGAAAGCTTATGCCCAAATAAATGTTAGTCTTTAAGGTGCCGACGGACGACTCATTGTTGTCGATACAGACTAACACGGCTATCCCTCTGAGACACATCTGGGGTTTTAAATGAGTAGTTTCTAGGTATGATCTGATGATTTTCATACCTGGCACAAGCTTTTACAGCATAGCTCCAGCCCTGTCCCTGCTCTCTGGGGAGAACAACCAGACAGACAAAGGGGATTCCTCCCCCCCCCCATTTTGACAAGTTCTAGCCTTCCCATTGGCTCTTTTGGTCAGGTGCCAACTCCCTCCCTTTTACTTATGGACTTTTTAACCCTTTACAGGTAAAGCAAGTAGAGAACAGCTACTAACAGGGATTTTATAGCTGGCTGTCTGGCTGGGTGCCCATAAAAGGGAGTTCCCCTGCCCTTCATTTATCACAGATGCATTTTACAGAAAGGAGAGCTCAAGTGAGCGGTTAGGTTTGTGGCAGAGTTGAGATAAAGTATAGATCTCCTGATTCTAAGCCCTGCTGTGGGCAAAATGTTGAAACTTAGGTGCTTTTAGTTAGGTCCCTAAAATCATCTTCAGGAACCTTAAAAAAATTTACCCTTTGAAAATCAGGCCGTTTCTCTTTTGCTGCCTAAATACGGATTTCAGTGTCTAATTTTAGGCACCTATGTTTCAAAATTTTGGCCTCTGTGAATTTAGCATCTCTTTATCTGAAAAGTGATCTGATAGTTGGAAAGAAATATTTGACTTATTTTTGAAAACTAAACTATATCTACTAAAACCCTGTGTGCAGAGCAAGTTTAAGGCCTATGTACCACTGAGGCTATGTCTTCACTACCTGCCTGAATTGGTGGGTAGAAATCGATCTCTCGGGGATCGAATTATTGCGTCTCGTCGGGACGTGACAATCGATCTCCGAATCGATGCTTGTACTCCACCAGCGCAGGTAGGAGTAAGCACGGTTGACGGGGGAGCCGTGGAGGTCGATTTGCCGCTGTCCTCACAGCGAGGTAAGTCGGCTCGGATACGTCGAATTCAGCTACACTATTCGTGTAGCTGAATTTGCGTATCTTAAATCGACCCCTCCCCCCCCCGTAGTGTGGACGTAGCCTAAGTTACTTAAGTCCTCAAATATAGTGTTTAAACAGTGCATAGTTTGTATGCTGGCCTTCTGCATAGGGGCCAGTTTTACCCCAAATATGAGATTCCAGGTTAACTTGTAAATCAGTCAAAACTGGATAAACCTGTATTTCTTGTTACTATTTTTTTTACATTGTATTGTCTGATTATTTATATTTGGTGCAATAGGACTTGCTAGACATTAAGTACAGAACACCTTTGTGGATTACAAAGCCATCATGCACATTTCAGCAAAAGCCATTCTGTAGAGCATTTACACTATGCCACTCTTTCCTCGGAAATGTCATTAAGACAAGTTAATGGGCTTGCATTATCATCTGTGACATGCTTGGTCAAGTATCAAGAGAGATGTTAGTTTTAACAACCCAATTTTGAAATTCTTAGTTTTCTGTGGGTTGAGCTATATGCAAGTAAAATATTCTCCAGCTATGTGTTTAACAAAAGGCAAGAAAAATGTTTTAATGCAAGAGTAAGAGAAGGTAAGAATTTTGGCTCCTTCCTTTTAACTCAGAGCTAAAATACCTACAAAAATGTACTGATTTGTTTTCCTTAGTTATTCTCTAATAGTCATAGAAATGTAGGGGTGAAGGGAACCTCAAGAGGTCATTAATCCCGCCCCCTGCACAGAGGCAGGACCAAGTATACCTAGACTATCTCTGACCAGGTGTTTTTCCAGCCTGTTCTTAAAATCCTCCAGTGACAGGAGTTCCAGAGCCTCCCATGGAGGCATATTCTGGTGCTTAGCTATCAGATGTACATTGATTTGTAAAAATTGTTTCTGTAGCGCTTCCCAAAGAGTGAGAGGTTTAATCCCTGCCCCCAACAAGATTTAAGCCTAAAGAAGAAGGTGAAAGGAGTGCGATGCATAGATGGTACGTGGCTGTGTCATAGTCTACTTTAGGGAGGCATAGTATTTGTGCATACATTCCTTGGGCATTGAGTGTGGAATCAGTGAGCATAGCTCACATTCTGGGTTTTCATGAATGTGATCAATTTTAAACATAAAAAATTAATGGAGCAAATGGACTTTAAACCTGAGGCCTTCACAGTAATATTAATAGAATATTCGGATATTTCATTTTTTTATCTGTTTCTTTGAGAAATTATAGATCTTGTAGTATGAATGGATTCATTTATAGTTCACCTATTTCTGGTAATTAAATGTGAAGCTGATGTCTTCAAATGTAATTTAAAATCAGATTTTTTTCACTTGTAAAACCTATTCAGTAGCTTGCACCATAGCTTACTATGGTAACACCCCCACCCCAACCTTTTCAATAACAATATATGGATAAAATCTCATGTTGTTAGTTCTTACAAATACACCCATTGAGTTAATCATGTGAATAGGATTAGGCCCAGTTTGAGCTAATTTGGATAATGGGTGAAATCCTAATCCCATTGAAGTAAATGGTAGTTTTGCTATTGACTTTGATAGGGGCTAAGAGTTCATCTTTTACTTATATGAATAACACTGCTCTGTTCTTGTACTATTCAAAACTTTTGGCTGCAGTGTTTTTTGGGACCAGGATTAATTTTTTTCACTCTGAAGAATACTAATTATTTTTGTACTTTGAGAGTAACAATTTCACAGTTTGTTAGTCTGTAAAATCATCCTGATTATGCTTTTCAACTTTTTCTTTAAGGGTAGCTCTATTCTCCCCAAGTCCAATTCTTCAATAGATAAAATTGATATTCAGGTTCTGTAGGTGTACTTTGAGTTCAGAGTGCAAATCTTGTATTGACTAATTTAGCTGTTTCTTTCTTATTGCCTTTTCAGCAGAATGCAAATACATTAGAAAACACGTGTAGATAGCATATGTACAAGCCATTTTTCACAGGCAATGAAACAAAATATTTTTATATAAATGTAGAATTTATGTTAAAGAACAGGGCACATTTCCTTTCTAGACAATTAAAATAGTTTTTGTGTGAAATATATACACAAAAATGTTAAAAGACCATGAAGGGTGCAAAGCACTCAATTCTGGCATGTCCTAACTTTTGAGTACTTGACTTTGCAACCCTAATGTTCTCTTTAATATAGTTTTGTGTGTGTAATTTCTGAGGTTTAAAAAACAAACAAACAAACTGAAAAACAGAAAATTAATCCTATGGAAATAGCCACATGGGACATCAGCAGGGTTTGAGCCTTTAGATCCATTTCACAGACCTTTGCTAGTAGAGCTAATGAAGTTACTGATACCAACAGTAAGCTGTCATCCTTTGTGGGCTAGCCACTAGAGCAGGATGAAACATACACTTTGCCAGAGGGTTTCACAGATATTTGCTGACAATAGAGAAATGTTGAGACTCTGGAATCTTGAGGAATCTCCCCTCAAACCTGACCCCTTTTGCCCTGTCCTCTTTTCTCCCCATTATCACCCACAGCTCCTTGTCTCATTCCTATTTTTCACTCCTCTGTGCTCCTCACTCCAGTCCCCATCTCCTGCTCTGGGCTCCTCAGCAGAGTCTTAGTCTCCTTTATCCCCAATCTTGGCTTTCATTCCCAGTCTCCCTCCTAAGCTCTTTGCCCCAGTCTGTCCCCCCTACCTCTTGCTCCTCGTTTGATCTCCGTCTCCCCCGCCTTGGCTCCTACATCCAGTCTCCTTGCCCATCCAGGCCCAAACTTCCACAGACCTCCCACTCCCAGTGTCTTCTCAACCCACCTCACTTCCTTATCCCAATCTACTTTCTTCACTGCCCTCCCCACTGCCTTCTGTCCCCTCTGTGTTCCAGACAGGCTGCCATACTGCCTGGGCACCAGCAGGGGGAGCATTGAGTGTCAGTCTCCCTGGTCTCAGTTCTGATGCTTGGTGCTGCAGCATCCAGGAGTGGCAATTGCCGGGAAAATCTGCTTACCACTCTGCAGCTTGGGGCTGGAGCATGCCCAGTTCAGACAGAATCTGGAAAGTTCACTTGTCAAGTCTCTACTGAGCATGTGTGAGCTGTGTTCCCCCCGCTCCCTCTCCAAGGTTTATAAACTGAGGTAGCTGGGAGTTATTTGACAAAACATTTGTTTTCAGAAAATGCTACTTTGTCGGAACCTAAACTTTTTGTGGAAAAGTTTCTCAGGAGATGGGGA